TGTCTGTCTGTCTGTCTGTCTCCAGGCTCCACAGTCCCTGACATTAGTACTTGCAGCTGTCCTAGTCTTGCAGTGGCATGTTGAGGGGACTTTTACAGGCCCCTCAATACTAACACAGGTGAGTCCAAGGTTTGTAGGAGACACCTAAGCCTATGACACTGCTCCCACAGATCTGGAATACAGGGAGGGATGGGGACTTTCACCTGGTTCTACAGAGTGAGCACAGATGATGCTAAGATCTGTGGCACCAGTAGCCATGCTAAGGGGGAAAGTCCTTGGGAACTCTCCTGGGTCCCATGGGGGAGATGGCAGTTGCTGGGGCTTGTAGCACTGCTAACTACTTTTTTGGAGTTGTGGGTCCCGCTAGTACTTCTTGAGGACCCAAAGGACAAACACAAGTGTTAGCCAGACTTTGGGCTCAAACAGTCTGTGAGCTATAGAGATGTTCTGTTGGTCTCCCAAGGTGTGTGGTGCTGGGGTTCATGCTCTTGAGCATGTAGAACCATAGGAGAGTCTTTCCCTAGGTCCTACAGGTCAAGTGCAAGTAAATTTGGCATTATGGCCATAGAACTTTGAGGCATGGATATCCCTTGCCATACCTGGGAAGCTCTCTGCATTTTGAGTTGCTGTCCTAGACCAAACAAAATAGATGTGATCTTCCCCTAATCCTCAGGGACAAGCTTGGTTGGTGCTGAGGCTTGAACTCAAGACCTCTCAGTGCTCTACCACTGGGACTTTGTGCACCTACAGACCCTAAGCAGACCCCCCATTAGTTCCTATATCATGAGTGCATGTATTGGTGGATATTGGGCCTCTGGTAATGAGTTCCTAGGGATATTGGATTGGGCTGGGAACTTTCTCAGCTTTTGCAACTGACAAGAGTAAAGCCAGGAATTTTCAGCGACTACAGTCCTAAGGTTCTAGGCTAGGAAGCCCTACCCTGGATCCTGCAGGTGCTGGGGTGGGGCCATAGACTGTGCTCTCCTAGGTTGTGGAGCTCAGCTGGGAACTTTCCCAGATCATGATGAAATGGAATGGGTGAAGCAAGAACTTTGGAAAAGGCATGTAAGATCAGATTAATAATACAGAGTACAGAGAATAAAACGTGAAAAGTAAAGTAGCCCATTCATGGATTTCATGAAACCATGTTTGAATCTGAAGAGAATCCAAAAGAATTTAGAAATATTGTGTGTGAGAGCAGCATTTCTGTAAGGAATGTGCAGCCTGCCCAGGGCAACAATGTGGAAATGTATGAGTACTTTGTGTTTGTTACCAAAAGCAGCTTTAGGAATCTATACCTTCCAGGTGCCAGGGGCTTATGCCACCTAGCTACTCAAGAAGCTGAGATCTAAGGATTCTGGTTCAAAGCCAGCCAGGCCAGGAAAGCCCATGAGAAGTGGAGTTGTGGCTAAAATGGTAAAAAAAAAAAAAAAAAAAAACCCTAGCCTTCAGCACAAAAGAAAAAATCCTGAGTTCAAGCCCCAGGACCAGCGCACAAAAATCTATACCTTGGTAGGCACTAGTAGTTCATTCCTGTAATCCTAGCTGCTCAGGAGGCTTAGGATCATACCATGAAGCCAAAAACGCTGGGAGTAGATGGGTAGGCCAAGTGGTAGACCACCAGCCTTGAGTGAAAAAGCTAGCCAGTGCCCAGGCCGAGTTCAAACTCCAGTAATAGCCCAAAATAAAAAGCCTCACCAAATACTCAGTGCAGCTATTTGGCCCACACTGAAGTAGGCTAGGATTTGACCCACTTTTCCCAGTGCAAACTACATCTCAGTGAGTTCAGAATGGGCTCCATTCAGCATGGAAGCTGCCAGCAGCACAGTGGCTCTGCATCCTCCCTGGTGCATCAGTGCTGAGTAGCACTCAACTTCCTTTTCTAAGTGGCTACCATCTGCTTTTGCCCAGAGGCACAGCTTGGTATTAAAGGGATTGCCATGACACCAAAGCTGTGAAGTCTATTAGATTCTAATTCACCCACTTCACAGTTTTTGGCAAACATGTTAGTTTCCCAAAAGCCTCTCAAAGTTCCTCAGACCACCAGACAAGATGAGACCGGGATGCAGGATTTCTGGGCCCTGTTCCAAGAAGTCCTCTGAAGAAGCACATGATACTTAGGACTTCCTCAGGACGCAGGAGCCTGGCTATCACAGAATTACAGCAAATCTAAAGCAATTGTGTAAAGGAAAGTGGTCTCTGATTTCTCATCTGGAGAAGTGGCTCAAGTGGTAGCCAAGCAAAAAACCAAGTGCTTGCTTACCAGCCCAAAGGCCTTGAGTTCAAACCCCCACTTCTACCATACATACACAAAAGTATGCTGAAGGCAAACAAATACTTCTGCAGGTGGGAAGCAGAATACTTTTGACTTGAATCCCAGTGGTTTTGTGTTACTGGCTGCAGCAACAGAGCAGAACTTGAGTTAGCTCACATGGCATTGGGAGGACTTCTTTCTGTGCATAACTTTCTCAATGCAACTAATGAATCTGTAAATACGAAGGCTGGCTTGTGAACTGCTCATCACTCAGATACTGCCAACTGGAGCAGAACTCAAGGAGCTGCTGTTCTGCTTGCCACTCACTCATTAGGATAATGATAACTTCTATAACAAAAGTACACCCCAACCATTGCCCTCAGCTGGCCCAGGACACTATCTTTGCAAGGAGTTCAGTATTCCCCTGGGCCTCTCTTCACACACAGACTGTATCCTGTCTGCTTCTTGGAATAGTATGGCATGTATAGTATAGTCTTCTGGTATCTGCTCTGCAAAGTACCACCAGACTGCATTGCTCAGTGTTCTCACAGTGGATGGATAACAAATGCCAGGTACAGTCTAGGCAGTCCCTGATCTGACAGCAGAGTTCTGAGCTGTGGTCGTTTGGGTTAACAGCAGCCTGGCCCTGGTCCTCGGTAGCCAGGTGTGCCCTGTCCCTCTGCCCCAGGCTGAGCACCACCTGAGGGCCACCTGTCACTGGCTCCTTCTACCAACAGTGGAGTCTAACTTGAAAAGCTTAACCTTGGCTCTCGGACTACACTCATCATTGCTTAACTCTTGCTTTTATAATGACATTTCTAAAAGAGAAGGTAAGATGAACACTGCCTCCCTAAGACAAAACAGTCCTGAATGCCTCTGGTGAATGTGATGGAGTAGAAGTGTAAGTGTAAGCCCAACAACCATGACAGATAGGGCTGTCAGACTGCATTCAAGCTGTGGCCAAATTCCTGACCCGTGGGGACGCATGTGACTTGGGAGTGTAGAGCCTGCCGTGGGATGGGCAGGGAGCAGAGACACCTCTGGGCTGTGGTGAATGATGTTTCACCAGATGTAGAGTCTTACCCTCCCCCCACCATTTCCCCATTCCTGTCCCTTCCAAAGCCCCCCACACCGCACGGCGTTCTCACCAAGTAGCACAGCGTGGGAATCATTTGGAGCTTACAGCAAATACCCAGAAGACTGGCAACATTATCTGGCATTTCTGCAGGAAACAAAACTTAGATCAACAACAGAAACAAGTTCATCCAAGCCAAGTGGAGTGGTGTACACAGCGTTCAGGAGGCTGGGGCAGGAGCATCACTAGTACAAACCCAGCTTGGGCTACCCAGCAAGGCTCTGCCTCCCTCCCCCACCAAAAACTGCCCCTGAAGGATGCTTAAAACCAGCCAGGCGGGGGAGGGGGGAAATGGGGGAGGGGTGCGGGGGAGGGGGGGCTGCTGAATAATTATCCTGTAAATGAAAGGTACTAAATGTACTGTAGACCTTTTTGAAAAGCATGGGAATCGTGTCTCCAGAGCATATTCCTTGGCATTCACCGTCGGGGAGAATAATGTGGATTGTGGGAGAAAAGAATCAGCATGGAAAAGTAGAGCCTGTCATCTGGTGACATGGTTTGAGCCCTTCACATGATCAGGCTCTGAGGATGCATGAGTCACTGGGCCTCAGTTTCCTCATGTACCATAGATTATCTTGGGGGAGCATATTTCAAACTGCATAAACCATGAAGGGATTCTACATGGTCCCAAACATTTAGGGAGACTTGTTCAGCACAGACTAATATAGCGGAGGCACCACGGTGGCAGGGGCCTGTCAGTTCCCGGGAAAGGGAATACAAGTCTGCTATTCCAAATAGATATTAGGATACTACCAAAACAGCTACAGTTCCTAAAACAACCTCAATTCATAGGGTACAAGCTTACCAAAAAAGGAAAAAATAATCACCTGTTGAACCACCTGGAAGAGGCAGGCTGGGGGAAGGGGGTGTTGACTGCTCAGGAATTATTCTCACCTGCAGCCATTAACATCCTTACTTACATTTTTTTAAAAACCCAACATGTATGCTAATGTATGCTAATTTTATAAAGTACCTTAATTGGCCTCAATGAGTTTTCCCCCAGCAGCCTCAGGCCCACAGGATCTTGGCAAGCAGGCCTTTGCCCAGCTCTGATGCTATCAACTCATCCTGGCAGTGGCCTCCTGATCAGCCAAGTCAGCCATACCCCAGGGCCTTTGCAGTAACTCTTCCCTCTGCCTAGATTCCTCTCACATTTACAAGTCTGTTTTCAACCCATGTTCAGTTTAAACAGTGTCTCCTAAGACAGAAGGATGAATTTAAAGATGCCTGTCGCTAGAAAAGCTAAGAATTACCGTAATTGTCTTCCAGTCTATGTAAATGCCATTGTAAATGAACTTGTGAATGTCTGGGTTACTAAAAATAAGGATGAAATTAAAAAAGGCAGCATGTCACTGAACCTGCAATCTAGAGGACAGCAGAACAAGGCTCATTCTCAAAAGAGAGCAACCAATGGCTGCTAGGAGAAAGGAGGCAGGATCCTGCAGAGATTTCCCCCCAAGCAGTGCCTTCAGCTGTGGTCCCTGCACCCCGAGAAGACTCATGGCAGGAAGATGCGCGAGTTGACATGCGTCCTTGGGGAAGGATGATGGACTGGGGTCGGCGTTATTCTCTGGTGACTCTTTGAAAAACCAAATGGTCCTGGGCCTGTTCCTGTAATACTGGGAAGGGGCAGCAGGGGCTTGAGGCTGCTCAGCCACCTCTTCCCAAAAAGTAACAGCATGCCCCGCTTCCTCGCAAAGGGCAACTACCACCAGGGCCTCTGACACAGAGGGTCTGGATGAGAGCAACAGAGACATGAGCAGGCAGGGTCTGGTGGTCCACAGTAACTGATGGTCATTTTAGGATCCATGCAAGAGCCATGGCTGGCCCAGCACAGCCCTGCCTCCAAGCCTTTCACATGGGGACCCGAGACCCTCTGCAGCCTGGGGCCACCATAGACTGGGATGACAGATCCGCAGAGAGGAGCTGGGGAGAGCAGCTCCTCCAAAGGCAGAAGAGGCCCGAGGTAGTAAGGCTTGCTTCACGCTAGAGTCTAGAACTCTCCATTGGCCTCTGCCTCTTACCCTGACCAGACTGGAAAGGAGGAACCTGTTTTAATTACCAAACTTCCCACAATTATCTTTTGTGTTCCACAAAGCAACATGATTTCCACATTCCAGCAGTTTCTCTTTTGTCCATTTCCATACCTGCTAGTGCGCTGACCAGGCAGTAGGCTGTGGCAAAGAGTTTCTGGTTGCTGATCTGGTCTTCAGGGCCAGGGCGCTCACCCTGTACCCTGCACCCCACCAGCCCCAGGAAGGCGGTCAAGTCCTGCTGCTGAGCAGCCTTCAGCCCGCCTATGGCCAGCGCTGCCTGTGGGGACCAGAGGCCACTGGCCACATCATCACACTGAGGGGCGGGGGGGGAGAGAAGACAACAGGAGGGTGTGATAAAGGTCAGAGGCCAGCCACCCCCCACACACACACACTCCAATACACACACACACACACACACACACACACACACACACACTCCATGTCCTTCACCTCCCAGGCAAAGCTAGATACTGTGCCCTTTTCTATGTTCTGGCTGCTCACCCACCCTCCGAGGCCCTGCTGCGTGAGCCAAGGTCCCCACCCCACACACCCCCTGCCAGTTCTGCCCAGCAGTCAGCCTCTGGCTCCTGTCCATCCCTTGTCTGCTACCTGGGCTGCTCTGCTCCCAAATGTCTCGGGGTAGCTGATGCTCGGGCCACAGGAGGCAGGCCTGACATTTTCTTCTTAGAAAGAGCTATTTTAGGAAGTAAAAGTCCCCGGCTTTTTGAATAATTTGTGTTCTCCCTGGGGCTGAGCTCAGAATGCAGAGGTGTTCAGGGTCATTGAACTGTTTCAACAACTTCAGGTCCTATCACTGGGGATGAAATGCCCATAGCACAATCGAATGTTGAAGGAAAAATACTATGAACACTATCCTGGATGTCAGAAAGCAGTCGGTCAGTTAACCCAACTCCCTCAACAACAGAAGACCTAAAACCAAAACTACAATAAAAGGCAGGTTTCCAAAGCCTCAGCCTTAAGCACAAAAAAAAAGCCTGGGCATAGGGAAGTAAAGGGACAGCAAGTGGATCCCTAATAAATGATTCATTCTGCAACTGCCAAACTAATAGTTCAGACACTTGTGCTGCCCAGGAAATCCTGCTGCAATACTGAAAAATGTAGATTCCTGCTTCTCTCTATTCGAAACAGAAGAGGTTGCCAAGGTTTCATCTGATAGCCCCTTGTTATTATAAGCTAATTAATGCCTATCCAGCGTATGTCCACCTGCAATCTCAGAATGGGGCTTTATTCAAAGACAAGACTCTTTGTGAGAATCTCAAGATGAGACTGTCCTACACTGTAGTAGACCCTAGATCCAGTGATTTTTGTCCTTTCAAAAGAGACAGTAGAGGGGACACAAACACACACAGTGTAAGGAAGAACATATGAAGGCAGCATCGGGCAGAGTGACACAGCCACAAGCCAAGGAATGCCAGGAGCCACCAGACACTACCAGAAAATGAGGAAGGCTTTCTCCTTCTAGGGGATCTTCTAGGGGAAGCAGCACCGCCCTGCCCATACCTTGACTTCTACTTCCAGTCTCCCGGACTGTAAGAGAACAAACTTCTGTTGTTTTAAGCCCCAAGTGTGTGGTCATTTGTTTGTAGCAGGTCTGAGAAACTCATACATCCCTCTCTGCCTAGGGTCAGCTACCTTTCTGAAGTTCGAAAATTAAAGACCTGAAACTAAGAAAGAAAATAACTAAGGTTAAGCACTGAAAGAGGTGGGGAAACGTAGCATCATTTCATTCTCGCTCCAAGCCTTTGTCTACTGGGTCTAGCCAGAAGAAAGGACAACTGAGCAGGAGATGTCTGTCTCACCACTTGCTCTAGGGCCACAAGGAATTCCTCATCGAACAGGACCATCTGCAACAGATGCCACACAGCTGTCTGCTGCTGCTCCGGCAGCTCCACGAACGGGTGGAAATTGCTCTCCAGGCGCAGAGTCACTGTGAAGACAGAACAGACCTGGTGCCGTGACCGCTATGCGCAGCTCTTGAGGTAGCACAGCAATGCCGGCTTCTTACAGCTCCTCCCCACTCGCCCCTCACAGATGTATCCAGCTGCAGTCAGCCACGCCAGCTCAGAAATAAACAGCACCGAGTGAAACATAACCCTGCAATGTTTCCAATAACCAGGCTAATTCCTTCAGGGAGAGAGGAGAAAGGAAGAGGGAAAACCCAGGTTTGTACTGCAGGCTTCCCGTTCACAGGAGGCTCACTACATGATCAAGTCTAACGAAATATTTCTAGAAGAGTCATTTAGACTCCCTGTTAGCAAGACTGCAGAATTCTCCAGGCTGAATTACTGAGCATATGTCAGAAACATGCAAATTCCAAAGCACATAACTCCATGCTCTTTCATAAAGATTTTGTATCCTTTGTGTTTAATGCATGTTTCTCAAAGGGGTTGGCACCCCCATGTTCCTGGCAAGCAAGGAAATTCTTCCCTGATTTCCTTCTTCCCATCTGCTCAAGATGTACATGGGGTCCTTGGGAGCCTCTCCCTTCTCTAATCCTCTTCTCTTTTCTTTCTATTTTAAGGGTAGTTAAAAGCTCCTAAGCCAGGTACTAGTGGCTCATGCCTATAAATCTAACTACACAGGAGGCTGAGATCGAAGTCAGCCTGGACAAGAAAGTCTCCAAGACTCCTATCTCCAATTAACCAGCAAAAAGCTAGAGGTAGAACTGTGCCTTAAGTGGTAGAGTGCCAGCCCTGAGCATAAACACTAAGGAAGCACACAGGCCTCAAGTTCAAGCCTCAGCACCAGCACACAGACATGCACACGCACTCACACTTCTAGTTGAGCTCAATGAAGATTTTTCTAGAAAATATTTTTATAGGAAATAATGCTTGCATATGCAGGGCAGCATACTAATCCAGAAGTGCTTCACAAAGCCAGAAAGAAAGAGAGAGAGGAGAGAAGAGAGAGGGAGAGAAGGGAAAAGGAAAAGAAGAGAGAACTGCAGTAACATGACATATTCAGAAACACAAGTAGATCTCCTGGAGCCCTGGCTTGAACAGAAGAGCTGGGGGGGTTAATCCAGGATCTGAGGCACAGAAGCCAAGCTACCCCTCCCCACTCCTGCCCAACATGCCTGGCTGCCACCACACCCCCAGCAGACTAGAATGGTCCACTGTCAGGGCAGACCCAGATGCAGTGTAGCTCAAGGCTGTGGCATAGATAAGGATATCCGTCAGCCACAAGTCCCATTCTACATGAGTATCAATAGGAAGAACGAGATTGGTTTTCATTGCCAAACCTTCCAAAAACCTATGACAAAACAAAAATCCTCTTGACCTGGATTCACTGAAGCCCCATTGAGGACTCTTTCCTCTCATCCTCCAAGCCGCTGTTCATCTGTTCCTCACTTTTTCGTGTGTGTGTGTGTGTGTGTCTGTGTGTCTGTGTGTGTGTCTGTGTGTGTGTGTCTGTGTCTATACCCCAGTATTGGGCTTGAACTCAGAGTCTGGGCTCTGTCCCTTCCCTTACCATTTCTCTTCAAGGCTGGTGGATACTCTACCATGTGAGCCACACCTCCACTTCTAGATTTTTGCTAGTTAATTGTTAATAAGAATCTCAAAGACTTTCCTGCCCTGGCTGGCTTTAAACCTTGATCCTCACATCTCAGCCTCCTGAGTAAGTAGGATTCCAGGCACAAGTCACCAATGCCCAGCCTTTCTTATCTTATTACTTGTCTCTTTATCCTTGCTCATCTCCTTCTACTGGATGCTGCAGTCTGAAACCTCACCGAAAAGAAACCAACCAAGAAAACACAACGTGCTGTGGGCACCTCAGGAGTCCTGGCCTCTTTCTCTTTGTACTAAGTGGCTTGGGCCAGGGGGATGAAAAGCTTCCCAGAGAGCACTCTGCCTGGTGGGATGCTGACAACGCATCGCTGCTCTTGCCAAGGAAGCCTGGGATACAATGAAAACCAGTCCAAAAGCTGGGTTCTCTAGCCGGGCTGCTCACTTGCTATTCTTATTAGTCAGCAGGCTTCTGTGGTGACAGGGCAGGATGGGGCTTCACTCCCAGGCCCCCAGTCCAACCCAAGAGGACTCCTGTTGGGTAGACTGGGGTTCAGATCAGAGCGACTCACTTGCAATGTTCACTGAGTTACTTACTGTGAGTCACTGAGCCTGGCAGCCATCGCCACCTGCTGGAGGTGAGGATGGCAAACAGTACCTTGCTTTAAAGCATGCAGAGATCCATGGTGGGAAGATGTCCCAAGCCCAGCATCCGGCATGTCCACAAACGCAAAGTCTCTGTAGGCCAGGGGGTCCAGGTAGATGTCGTCGACTCTCCTCTCATGCTCGAAGCCACCGTGCTTCCCTTGGAGGAGGCAGAATTCTGCAGTGTGGAGGGAAAGGGCAGGCTAGGCCTGGCACTGGCCCAGTTTGGATACATCTTCCCCTACCTTTACCTAACTCTTCCCCACAGCACCACTTCCCACCCACCTCCCGCTGCTGAATCAAAAACCTAGCCACTGCCTCTAAATGCACCCTCAGTGGCTGTTCGGAGCCCAAAGCTCTCGAGATGCCCTGTCTAGCTCCTTTCTCTGAAGTGCCTTCTTTCTGGACTACACACACTCTCTCGAGACTGCACTGTCTCTAGAATGCCCCCCCCCACTGTCCTTTCTGTGGAGTCTATGGAGTGCCCTGTCTCTGCAGTGCCTTCTCCCTCAAGTGCCTGTTGTCTGAGTGTCCTCTCTCTAGAGGACACTCTCGTCTACTCTGTCTCTGGAGTGCTCTCACTCTAGATGTCCACAGAAGTAGAAAGCCCTCTCATCTTTCACATGCTGGAAGTATTTTCTCCCTCTGACCTGAACAAACAACGCTAAACAGACAAATAAAACCCACCATGAACAAAACAATTGAGGAAATGTGACACTTGTCATATTCAAAACTCTTTGTCAGTATATTCTGGTGTAAAGTCAGCCATTCAGTTACATCTTTATGAGTCCTAGCTTCTGTGTTAGTAAAGAGAATGATATGCAGTCATAAAAAGAAACTACTGACTTCTGCAATGGGATGAATGTATCACACAAATATTACATAGAACAAAAAGAGCCAGACAAAAAATAATGCATTGTATATGAATCTATTTACACTGAGGCAAAACTAGTTATGTCGTAATCCCTTATTGCTTAAAGGTGCTGAAATGAGTCAGGCCCTGGTGGCATGTACTTGTCATCCTAGCCACTCAGGAGAGCAAGACCTGAGAATCAAGGTTCAAAGCCAGCCCAGGCAGGAAAGTTCGTGAGACTCTTATCTCCAATTAATCACTGAAAAGCCAGAATGTGAGCTGTGGCTCAAGCAGTAGAACACTAGCCTTGAGCAAAAAAGCTCAAAGAAAGCACGCAGGCCCTGAGTTCAAGCCCTAGGACCAGCCCTGATGGCTTCATAGCCATCCATGGACAGATGGGAGGTGGTGGCACTGCCATGAAACCTGAGGTCACCTGGTTATTGAAACCAGGTGGTAGGTCCATGCCAGTCACTACGGCATTAGCCACAGTTAAGCGTGTGAAATTCCCCATAATGAAATGTTTGTTTTTACTAATAAAAAGAAATGTTGCTTGGAATATAATGGAGGGCTTAGCTTAAGTATCTAGACTGTGAGTAAAAAAAGTAACTCTTGGGATGTTTTTGCTAGCATAAACAGGGAGCAGGCTCAAGAATTAATGTTCTCTTTTTGCTTCTAGTTCATTAAATATGGCACCAAAACAAAGGAATAAAAGCAAAGCTATAGAATAAAAGTGAACCTGAAGCCACCTTAGATTCACAGCTGAGGCCTCTGTAACCAAAGGCAGATCATCAACAAACACAGAGGCGGGGAGATTCATTGCATAGCAGCTTTGCATTGCACAGAGACTCTCCTAAGGACAGAGAAAGCAATACTTGACCGTGTTCATTTCATTACTTTCTCTGTTTGGCTTTTGGTTTATTTAAGACTGAGTTTCACTATGTAATCCACACTGGCCTGCTGCCTCGGTCTCCTGAGTGCTCGAATTATAGGTATGCACCACCATACCCAGCTCACCTAAGTAAAGGTATGCTAGGTTTGATGAAGAATGGAGAGAGAAGTATTAAGACAAAACAGATGACTAACAAACAGCGCTGAGCTGTCGTGTGAGCCTAGGAAGAAACTACCTGTGCTCACATTCCTCTGTGTGTGTCCTCACAGATTAGGGAACATCTTTCCCATAGGCAGAGAGAGAGAGGGCACCTCTGTCCGATGGTGTGTCACCTGTATATGGGGAAGGCCAGAAAATCCTTCCTGGGACTTGTCCCCTGCTTCACAGAAAGTCTGAGTGGGCTTCTGGCTTCTGCCCTTTCTTCAAATTCCTTCACTTTCAAATTCTTTTGGATCACGTATCCTAAATCCCTCATGGCGAAAAGGTTCATGGACAATGCCTTAAGCATCATGAGGGTTTTGAAGATGTTCTCAAAGCCAAGAGGTGGAAACACACTCTGGTCAGGATGTGGGTTCACTTTGGGCAGATCACCAGGTGGGTAGACTGGTGAGGAAAAGCCTGGAGATACAGGTCGAGGGGCGTTAACCTTGGGACAGGGGAAGCCACAGAGGATGTCTGAAATGACCTGTTTAATGGTTTTAAAACACATTTAAAATGTGACTTTAAACAGTCACATTAGTTACAGTGGTGGGACAGAACGAAAGAGAGAGAAGCAGAGGAGTGTGGTTAGAAGCAGTTGGCGGGAAGCCAGGGAGATCCCAGGGTCACCAGGTGGCCTGGGGAGAGGTGCATAGATTGGGGGACAGGGTGAGACATGGTTTCTCAACCTGGGAGAGCCAGATCCAAAGCTGATGCTGAAAGGATATGCAAATATCAAGGATCAGGGAACAAAAGCATTGGCTAAAGTGCAAAACGATAAAGGAGCATTTCTGATTAGCCATCAGTTTCCCCAAGGGTGATCTGCTGTAGAAGGAAAAGGTCACAGTACTGCAGGCAGCAGGCTGCAGCACCTGGCCCAGCAGGGGAAAACAAAGGACACAAGGGTCACTGTCCAAGGTCATGACACCAGAGGTGGAAGAGAGGGTCCTTCCAGCCCCTGCAGGCTTGTTTACCTGGGCGGAACCAGAACATTTTGGGGCAAGCGTGACAGAAGGCACAAATGGGCAATGACAACAAGAACAACAAAAATGCATCAGTGCTTTACAATCTGGGCGAGGGATGCTCCACATGCCAGGCATGGCACTGAGCAGAGGGCAAGGGCCATGGGGCATCAGGAAATGAGTCCAGGAGTGCTGAGCCATTCCCAGGGCGCCTCTTCTTGGCAGCACAATAAGGAGTTTATTTTCAAACACAGCAAAAGCCAGCTAAGATAAAAGGCTCCAAATTAAAATGCAAACAGGAGAGCAGGCCACACAAGGCTGTGTGTCTTTCAAAGGCTCTTCTGAGAAGAAAGAAGCCACCCTGGAAGAGACAGGCTACCCAACAGAGCTGCAGACAGGGCAGGCCAGAACTCCCTGCCTGTCTCCCCAACCACCAAGTGTCCTTAAGGATCTCAGAGGCTTTTTCTGGCATGTGCCAAGATTTCAAAAGAGCTCACAATAATGGTACATTACCCATAGTGGTCATGATATACAAATAATATGTGTCCAAGAATGAATGAACAGAGAAAAAAATATATATACACACTGGAATATTCTTTAGCCATAAAAAAGAATGAAATCCACTATTTACAACATGCCTCAACCTGGAGAACATTATATCCAGACACAGAAGGACACACACTCTATGCTCACACTTATATTTGGAATCTAAAAGCCAGTCAAACTCATGGAAGCAGAGACTGGAACAATGGTTGTCAAGATTGCCAACAGAAGAAATGAGGATATATAACTGATTGTAAGTTTCTGTTGTTAAGTTCTGGGGATTTGGTATATAGTAGTGACAATAGTTAATAATACTGTGTTACAAAAAATAATATTGTGTTATTAGTCAAGACTTGCAGTCTACCTAAATGCTGAACAGATGAATAAGGAAAAATATAGGGTGCACGCATGCGCATGTGCACACACATGTATGTGCGCACACACACATATAATGATGTTATTCAGCCATTAAAAGACGAGTGAAATCCTATCATTTCAGATAACACAGAGAAACCTTAAGGACAATGTGCTGAGTGAAGTAAGCCAGATGCAGAAAGTAAACATCAGGGGCTGGGAAGGTGGCTCAGTGGTAGAGCGCTTGCCTTGCATGCATGAGGCCCTGGGTTCAATTCCTCAGCACCACATAAGCAGAAAAAGCTGGAAGTGGTGCTGTGGCTCAAGTGGTAGAGCACTGGCCTTGAGCTGAATTACTGAGGGACAGTGCCCAGGCCCAGAGTTCAGGCCCCACGACCAACAACAACAAAAAAGTAAACATCATATTACCCCCATTTTACCAAGATCTAAAGACTACTGATGTTCCAGGACTATAGGTATGGCTCAATTCGTAGGGTGCTAGCCTAGCAAACCTGAAGACCAGAGTTTAATCCTCTGTAGCAAAACAAAACAAAACAAAAACAAACAAACAAAAACCCAGAATGTTGGTTCCCAAAGGAAGATGGAGAGAGTGTTAATGCATAGGAGGTCCATTAGATAGGAAGAATAAGTCATTGTTGTTTTTTCAAGAACAGATAGTGGCTAGTTATCAATAAAGTTAACTGTGTATTTCAGAATAGCTAGAGAAGTTTTACAATACAGTTGCCATAAAGAAATAACAAAAGCACAAGGTGATGGATTTGAGCAATATCCAACATAGGCACACATTGAAACATTAAATAAACATCAAATGATAACCCATAAATATGCAATTACAGTCAAGAACAACTAAAAAAATTACTTACTTGAGATCTGCTAAGAGCACACATCTTTAACACACATTCCCTCCCTCCCCACTTTGCAAATGATACCTGTGTCAAATAATGGATGTGGTGACCAGCTTGATTGTGGCAATCACTTCACAGTGTATATGATAGTAAATTACCTATATACATTGAATATTTCTAACTTGTTTTCTGTCCATTGCATCTCAATAAAGCAGGGTTGGCCCACGGGCCAAATCCAGCTGAACAGAACTGCAAAGCCCAGCACTGGGCTGAGCACACAGCTGCGTATCCCAGAAGCAGGAGTAACCTCCTCACCCTCACAGCCGTCCACCTGGAAGATGAGTCTTTCAAAGAGAAATAATAAAACAATAATGCCATCTAGGATGGCACACATGAGGAGCCTCACACAGAGTATGGAGCTCACAGTTCCTGGAGTGCTTAGTGTTCCTGATCACTGACCTCTCTAAACTTCCTTAAAACTGACATCTTCCACAGGAGGGCAGTGGCTCACATCTGTAATCCTAGCTGCTCAGGAGCCTGAGATCTGAGGATCATGGTTTGAAGGCATTGAGATTCTTATCCTCAAACCACCCAAAAGCCATAAATGAAGCTGTGGCTCAAGTGATAGCCTTGAGAAAAAGAAGCTCGGCGGCAGTGCCAAGGCCCTAAGTTTGAGCCCCAGCACCAAAACAAAAACAAAAACAAGCCTGACATCTTCTCACTTGGGCTTCCCCAAATGCTGGCTTGCTTTGTGTACAAAGCCATGGGGGAGGCCGAGCTCCCAGGCTCCCAGGAGGTGAGGACACGGTCGCATCGGGACACTACCTCTGGTGTCTTCATCCCTGGTTTGTCAGCGAGGGGGGGTGTGTCCCGTGGATGGCTTAGTGGGAAGCTGTCTCATGGGATTACTCATCTTGAACCCACGTCGCTGGAGCGAGTGAGGGGAGAGGAGACCACAGGAGAGGGGCATGTGGGGCACTCCTGCGCACCTCCTCCCAGGAGGAAAATGTCAAACAGTACCCCAACTGTGAATGAAGTGCTGTGACCTGCATGGTCCCGCTGACCAGGTCAGGACCTGGGCCTTCGCCAAGGATCCTCCACCCTGCCTCACCTCCACCCACTCCACTCACCCCCCTGTAGAGGAAGCAGATGCACCGTCCTTCCATCTGTGGGATTTCAATGCCGGCTTCTACACGATAACTTTAGAAACACTGCCATAATGTCATTATCATACCCCAAAAGGGTAGCAACGATCTGTTACATTTACTCATTCTGGTTCCCAGGAAGCAATTTGTTGGGCTCAGCACAACTTCTCATTAAGACTGAGAGGGAAGGGGCCCTGGGCCTCCAAGATGAGGGGACATGAATGAGACAAAAGGGCTGGTTGCCACAAGTGACAATGACAGGCCTCTGATGGCAGCAGGTCAGGTTGCCGTTTTACTCATTTGCTTTCTATTAGAATTGTGTGTGTGTGTGTGTGTGTGTGTGTGCGTGCACACGCGCGTGCACATGTGCAGGGGTACTGGGGCTTGAACTCAGGGCCTCATGCTCTTGCTTAGCTGTTTTCACCAGAGGCTGGAGCTCTACACTTGAGCCACACCCCCACTTCTAGCTTTTAATTGGAGACACTGGTTACCTGGATATACGAGTCTGAGGAATTTGTCTTCTCGGGTGGACTTTGAACCAGGATCCTCTGACCTCAGTTAAGATCACCAGCATGAGAGTCAGACTAGGAATCTATTAAGAGCTAAGGTGGGGGAGCTAGACTGCCACACCCTGCACTTTCTCCACCTCACACCAGTCCCACCAGGGAGCTTCTCTCCCCTTTCAAGGGGAGAAGCTGAAAGTGCCAAGATCTGGCATTCTGAGGTGCTGCGTGGCCCCCCACCTGGCCGATGGCAGAGTCACGTGCTTACCCCTGACCTGGCGGCAGAACCTCACCCCACACCGACGTCTCCAGAAGGAGCTCCCCCTGGACTCTCTCCCTAGGACCCCTCAAGTAGAAGGGTCCTCTACAAGTGGGTGTCTCAAGGGCACTCAGGGCCCTTCCGCCTCCTCCAAAGGTGGCACTCACCAAACTGGCCATCCTGTCTCACATACAGCTCCATGATGCCATAGGCGATGGTGGTGGCAGCTGGGATCTCCAGGGCCACGTTGCAGTCCTTGATGACATTCCCATCCTCCATGGCCGACACCTGCGGGGAGAACACAGGTGCCCACCTGCACTTGCTCCTCGGCTCTTTTTTCTGCCTGCCTTGCATACAAATGTGCTGTTGAAATGTCCATAGAGCGGAGTGGGAAAGAGGAGCTGGCAGAAACGAGGCCTTAACCCCCACCATGTTATGATGTATGACACATACGCCAGAGCCTGAGGGCAACCTGTGTGGCCCTAGAAAGCAGGAGGCCGTGAGCTCAGCTGTACACATGGCATGTCAGGGCACTAGTGGCACATGTTTGTAATCCCAGCTACTCAGGAGGTTGAGACTTGAGGATTGTGGTTCAAAGCCAGCCCAGGCAGAAAAGTCCATGAAACTCTGATCTCCAATCAAGCAGTTGGAAGTAGAGGCATGGATTAAGTGGTAGAGGGTGAAACTTGAGCAAAAAGAGCCAAACAAGATCATGAGGCTCTGAGTTCAAGCCCCACTTGAACTCAAACAAACCCACAAACAAACTAATGAACAGGCATCACATAAGTGAGTTACATTTTGGTCAACAGAGCATATATATTACAATGGTCCCATAACGTAATTAATGAAACCAAAAAGTTCCTCTCATAGCCATTGTGACATCACAGCAAGAGATACCACTGGCGTTTGTGGTAATGTTAGCATGTATGCCCACATAGTCATGCTATTATTAATAGCCATTCCATTATTTTTACCATACTTTTTATCATTTGTGTGTATATAGACTAAGTATATAGTGTGTACATATATAAAACCTACTATATACTAAGTATATAGTATATGTACAAAACCTAAGTATATGTAGTATACACCATATAAATTATAGAGCATATATATGTACTATACACCATATAAATTATAGAGCATATATATAGAATATATATACATACACAAACATATACACACATAGTGGAATGGGTCTCCCCGTGTAGACCAGGCTGGCCTTGAACTCTTGATCCTCCTATCTCAGAAGCCAGTGCACTTGGCTGTACTTCTTACTTATGAAGAAGGTGAAGTATGCGGTGAAACTGTGCTGAGTGAGGCAGGCAGCAGCCTCTGTCATCTCAGAACCCTTGTCTCTAGACTATGAAGAGGCCACATCAACTGACTGACCTCAACCATCTACATCTGTGCAGCTGGACATTGTAATGTTCTCCCAACCATGAAATCATTTAGTGAAGCATTTCTCAGAACATAATAAGCAATGTAGGACTAAATAAGATCAACTCCCAATTCTCCCATCAAGGGTTATGGAAACAATTAGGAAATCCTACTAAAAATCCCAACAGAACCTGGAAGACCCCAGCTGAGTCAGCCTGACTCCTGTGGACAGACCCCATCCCCACAGAGCCAGGAAGAGGAAGTGCAGTGTGTGGAGAGGTTGAGAAGCAGGCAGGAGAGGCTGGGAAGGAAATGGCAGGCAGAAAAGTTTCATCCTTGACATTCATCCCACCATGCTCTTGGAGAAACAAAGCTGGGAATCTATTGCTGGGGACCAAAGAAACTTATTTTTAGCAACTTGATTCTGGTTAGTATGTGGCTTTAGGTCAAGCAATGGCTGATAGGCTCCTGACTTGTACAGCACCAGGACTTGAACAGGCATTGACCACTACCCAAAGCATCAGTGGGGACAACCTAAGCCATCTCTAACGAAGCGCCTCTCTTCCCATTGCTGTACTATCACCCCCTACCGACCCCAAAAGAGTCTCAGCTCAAGGTGACTTCTGCACCACCTATCAAATACAGCTATGAAAGGTCTGCTAGAAAAAGCCAAAAGTAAGCTAGCACTGCTGGTTCATGCCTGTAATTCTAACTACTCAGGAGGCTGAGCTCTAAGGACACAGTTCAAAGCTTATCTCTAATTAACCACCAAAAAGCAAAAAGTAGAGTTGTAGCTCAAGTGGTAGAGCACCCGCTTTGAACAAAAAAAGCTAAGGGACAGCATCTAGGCCCTGAGTTCAAGCTCTTGTACCAGTACCCAAAAACAAACAACAACAACAGCAAAAAAGAAGAAGCCAAAAGTCACCCGAAAAGTAGATCTCCAAAACCCTAGGGAGCAATGGATCAAGGGTGCAGTGTGGGGTTGTCAGCACCAGCACACAGATCAGTCCCAAAGACATTTCTACTTTAAACTGGAAGAATCCATTCACATATACATAGCTAGATTTTTGCCTTCACTCAGTTCACAAAGTATCAGGGTAGCTAACCTCCAAGTAAACATTTGAGAGTCCTGACTCCACGGTGTGCTGAGTATTCTTGTATATCTGGCCTGGTCAGTGCCACTCAACCTACTTTCCTTTGGGGGATATCTCACTCCCACTAAGGAAAATGCCTGGTCAATTGGCGTGCCCTTCTGCTAGACGATGGGTCTGCTTCAGTCCGAGACACAACCCAGGTGAGATGTAGTTTTGAGGCAATCTTGCCCCACAGACAACAATAAAACTGATGAAAGGCTGGCTGGGGCTGGGGAGGTGGGGGGGGCAGTGTAATCAAATTAACCTTCTGTGAGGGACAGTGACCCACAATGTCAACTCCTAGATCCAGCAGTAACTGAAGCCAGATTGCCTCAAATACTTCAGTTACAGCAGCAAGTACGTTCTTGCTCAGTAAAGCAAGTGTGACATGTATATCTATTAACCCACTCTGGAAACTCTTCTTCTAATGAAGCCATCACCCTGCCCGCCCACGCCGTGTCTCCATGGCTGTGGCTGACCCCGCCCACCCCAGGTCCACACCTGCACCGTCTTGGTTTGGATGCCCACCATGCCACCACACTTCTCCTCGATCTGCACGTGCTCAGAGATCACGCACTTCTGCGTGGTGACGATCTTCTGTGTCAGCACACACAGGACCTCGTTCCTCCTCTCCAGCACCTGCTGCAGCACTGGGTCCTTCAGATTGAGCTTTCTGAAAAAGGAAAATGACCATGAATGGCTCAGGGAGATGATGACACAAATTCTCTCTTCCTGACACAGATGGCCGAGGAGAGAAGGGTGACAACCAGCTGTGCTGACCTCCTGGTAATGAAAGAAAGGTTGCCTCCTCGCATCCATGCTGCGGGATAGGCTGAAGAGAGAATGTCCAGCCCAACAGCAGCACTAGCTTCAAGGAGGAAACCAATGCACAGAACATCTGCAGTTCATCCAGCATGGAGTCTGAGGGAACCTAGGGACAACACATCACAGCCAGGCCCAGGAAGCTAATGATAGGGATGGGGCCAGCAGCTTAACACAGAGGACTACAGGCTTTAAATACAAGTAGCAAGGAGGAAATTAAGATGGTTTGGTTTTGTTGTGGTGGTGGTGGTGATTTTCCTATATGTGCCAGTACTGGGGCTTGAACTCAGGGCCTCAAGTTCTTCCTTGGCTTTTTCACTCAAGGCTGATCTTCTACCACTTGAGTCTTACTCTCCACTTCTAGCGTTTTGCTGGCTAATTGGAAATAGAGTCTCACACTGGGCTGGTTTCAAACCAGGACACTCAGATCTTAGCCTTCTGAGTAGCTAGGATTACTTTTGCAAGCAAGCAAGCAGGGAGGCAGGGAG